GTGTGTGTGTGTGTGTGTTTTGTCGACCAGGTGCAAACAGGCTATGGAGACTGCAGCAGGAATATGAATAATACGGCGCTCAATTGGAGAGAGGGATGCAGGGGGAGGAAGGAGGGTGAAAAAGAAAAATTAAAAGAACTAGGGGGAGCGCTGGTTAATGGATACTCTCTCGGTTGCGCTCCAAAACAATTTACCTCGAAAACAAACGATCGGCAAGGCTTTCCAAATGAACTGCGAACGATCGCCGGCCGCCGTGCGCGCTCAGGCCTCCGGTATCTGCTGAGCCGAGCAGTAGCGGCCTCAAGAAGCACACTCACTCCTGTTTGACCCCTTCAGAAATCAATCTGCCCGGGATTCACAATAACAGGCCAGCAGGTTTAGGTGGAGGGGCTCCGGCCTCTCATGGGGATGCAGGCTATGGCGTGATGCGATGCGTGGAGAAGTAAGAGAAACAAATGAGAGAAATATAAGTGGTGGGTATCGAAGGAAAGGCAGAGAGAAAGAGGGGGAGAAAAAAATCGATGGTCATGCAGGGACAGCGGAATGGCCAAGCTGCGGCCACAGAGGGTTCAACCAGGGGACACATTTTTCTGACCGATGAGGTCCACTGGCTCTGAAGCCAGAGGCTGACCCGTGGTTACACCCCCGCACACACACACACCACTCCCACCACTCCTGGCCCCCCTTGACCTCGCAATGCTGCTGGACCCTTCGCTCCCTCGGACATTCCCAGACCTCCGGAGCCCTCGGGCCACTTAGTCATAACAGACCGAGTTCAGGGCACTGTAACCCGGGGGCACGGCGGCGATATCTCCGCTCCCACATCCAGACAGACGGACAGACAGACAAGTGAGCTAACCACCTGGGCAGAGGTCAGCTACAGGCCACTGCTAAATGTCAGTCAAATAGGGTTGTGTTGATGAGACTGAATGAAATATAAAAAGGGATTCACCAACAGCCATTTAAAATAACCTTTCACAGCTTAACATAATAATATTATTCGCCCAATACTCACCCCAAGGATACTATTTTCTATATTTTGCTTCATGCAGCTGTCTCAGGTTTTGGTCAATATGTCATTTAAGAGCAAGGGTTTTCAAATTTGGTCTTCCATCTCAATATAAAGCCTTGAGCACTCTAATACAAGGTGTTGTGAGACATTCTAACAGTATAATTAGGTATGAAAGGGTCAGCCGGGCCTGTTAGACAGGCTGGAACAGAGGGAATGTGCAGCCTGATGCTGGACAGTATTTGGACAGACTGGGACCTTTGTGTAAACAGAGCCTGCCCCTCCTGATTGCCTTGCTGAAAAGCTGCTGAGCAGCCTTTTTAACTTCTTCTTCCAGCCATGTTTGCACGCTGTATTCAGGAGGAGAATTTTACACCAGTTCAAATTCATGGCGCCCTTTTTGACAAGCTGATTCATAGTAGCCAATACATACAATACAATAAAATAGAATGCTGATAGTTTTACTGTTAAAGTGATTGTGTGCAATTCAGTGAGCTGCAGCCACCATTATTTACCGGTATTGGGCTGGTGGCTTCTGGTCATTTTCCAGCCTGGTAATCTGAC